CGACCTGCTGGGCTCCGGCGATCCTTCCGCCTCAGCCTTCCAAGTAGCCGGAACTACAGGCGCGCGCTACCATGCCCAGCTAATTTTTAGTAGAGATGAGGTCTCGCCAAGTTGCCCAGGCGGGTTTCGAACCCGTGGGTTCAGGCAATCCACTCACCTCAGCCTACCAAAGCGCTGGGATTACATGATCCGTTTCTTGACTTGAGTGGTAGTTACATGAATGTTTGGTTTGTAAAATATACTGCTGTATACTTATGATTTGTGCTCTTTTCTGTATTTATGTTTGTTTGGACTGTTTGGTTTGTTATAACAGAATGCCATAAACTGGGTAGCTTGTAAACAACATTTATTTATTTCTTACTGTTCAGGAGACTGGGAAATCCAAGATAAAGGCACCAACACATTTGGTGTGTGGTGAGGGCCCTGTTTCTGATAGGTGACGCCTTCTCACTGTATCCTCACATGCTAGAAAGGATGAGGGGCCTCATTCAGGGCCCTTTTTAAGGACATTAATCCCATTCACGAGGACTCAGACCCCATATACCTAATTGCCTCCCAAAGGCTGTTCCTCCTAATAATGTTGCCTTGGGAGTTAGGATTTTAACACAGAAATTTTGGAGGGACATGGACATTCCAGCTACATCAATGCTATCCAGTCATGCACTGTATAATGATGTTCTGGTTAACAATGGAACCATATACAGTGGTGGTCCCATAAGATTATAATCTCTCATTTATGTATGTATGTATGTATATATGTATGTATGTATGTATGTATGTATGTAGTCAGAGTCTCACTCTCACCCAGTCTGGAGTGTGGGGGCACAATCATAGCTCACCACAGCCTTGATCATCATCTGGCATCAGGTGATCCTTTTGTCTCAGCCTCCTACGTAACTGGGACTACAGGCGCACATCACCACGTCTGGCTGCCATTTGTCATTTTTCATAGAGACGGAGTCTCGCTTTGTTGCCTAGCCTGATTTCAGACTCCTGGGCTCAAGTAATCCTCCTGCCTTGGCCTCCTAAAATGCTAGGATTTTTTTTTTTTTTTTTTTGAGTTGGTGTCTCACTATGTTGCCCAGGCTAGAGCGCAATGGCATGCTCATGGCTACTGCAGCCTCGACCTGCTGGACTCTGCTGATCCTTCCACTGCAATCTTCCAAGTAGCTGGAACTACAGGCATGCACTACCACGCCTTGCTTATTTTTTGATTTGTTGTAGAAACAAGGTCTCACCAAGTTGCCCAGGCTGGTTTTGAGCCCCTGGGCTCAGGCAATCCTCTCACCTCAGCCCCGCAAAGTGCTGGGATTACAGGCTGAGCCACTGCACCCAGCCAAATGTTAGGATCATAGACATGAGCCACCCAGCTGCCTGGCCTTATAATATCATTTTTACTGTACCTTTTCTGCTTAGATACTCAAAAGATCGCCTGTGTGTTACTGTTGCTTACGGTATTCCAATATAGTAACATGCTGTGCAGGTTTGTAGCCTAGGAGGAGCAGGCTATACATAATAGCGTAGGTGTGTAGTAGGTTGTACCATCTAGGTTTGTGTGAGTACCCTCTATGATGTTCTCACAACAACAAAATTGCCTAAGGACGCATTTCTCATGATTTATCTCTTGTTAAGCAAAAGATGACTATACTTCAGTACAAAGCTTAACCATTTATCAAGGCAAAAAAATGTATTGATTCTCCTAGACCCTTTGCACTTCAACTTGAATTTTATGGTCAGCTTGTTACAGTTTTATTGAAATGGCAATTTTTTTTTTTTTGAGTTGGAGTCTCACTCTGTCGCCCAGACTGGAGTGCAGTG